CTTAGGGCTTTTGCATAGAGATACATTTCCACCAGAGTATTTTTAAATTCGAGGCAGGCTCTCACTAAGTTGCTAAATTACCTAGGCAGATCTTAAACTCGCGATCTTCCTGCTTTAGTCTCCTGGAGTCCTGGGATTACAGACGTGGGCAACAATGCCTAACTGAATTTGTGTGTGCGCATGCATGTGTGCATGTGTGTGTTTAAAACGGTATGATGTTCTAATTTTATTTCCTCCCCCACCCCCAAAGAACCAATTTTCTTGATCTCATTTGTTTCCAAATGGATTTTTAGCCATTTAGTTCTTCTAAAATCAGAGAATGTCTTTGCTAATTGGCCATAGATATGGTTAATAGACATGGTGGGTTTAGCTAGCATTACACCTGGACTTGTTTCCTACCTCCTCTGTATAACACAGGGCAGGAGGGACAGAGACCACCAGGCTTGTGTAAAGGCAACACGGTGTGGAATTTATTTTGCCTGGGTGCAGGTAGACAGAAGGTGAAAAAAAACATCAGTAGTCAACAAAGAGATGTGGCCCACTTTTATAGGGATTGAAAGAAAGCAAGGGGCATTAGGTGGGAAGGTTTTAATAAACATTTATTGTCAAAGTTCCCTGGCAGTCTTGTACCTCAGCGGGCAAAGTCCTTAAAGCATCCAGTGTAAATTTTTAGGTGTCTCCAGATGTCCCCAGATGTCCTGGGACCTGCAAAATTCTTTGTCCTATTTAATCTCCTCTACGACATCTTGTGCTTGCTGATAACAGCTGTAGTGTTGAGCTGAGTTCCCTGCTGAGAATAGCATCTCTACTGGCAAGCAGGTTGGAGGCTGGGAGAGTCAGGTCAGGCCTGATTTGAGCCTTACTCTCTCTGCCCCCTCTAGATATGGGAAATAGACAGTGGAGATTGCAACCTGGTTTGTTGGAGAGGACAGAGTAATGCACTCTTACTCTCTCCTTAAGTGCCAAAGACAGCTCAGGTCATGGGGTAGCAAAGCTCTGAAGAAGCAGATTTTTTTTTTTTATACCGGGAATCGAACTCAGACCTTGCGCTTGACAGGCAGGTGCTTGTGCCACAGAGCTATATCCCTGGCCTGGCTAAAGAAGCAGATTTGCAGATATGGCCTATAGGACCTTTCAATGTAGAAATTTATCCTGGAATTTAGCGTTATTCAGATAATAATACACCAAATGGTGTGAACAGACTTGTTGCTCCCATTTCCCAAACTTAACAGAATGTGACCTTTAGCAATTGGTTTCCCAATTTCCAATTAATGTTACATTTGCTACAGAGAACAACTTAACCAGTACAGGAACTGTGCACAGGAACAAAGCAGAAATTCCAAATGAAGTGTTGCAATTTCAAAACAGAGAATTATACAGTACAATCTTTGGACTTCACAAGGATTTACATTGGCCTCATACATGGCAAAGAAAAACATACTGGTACTACTGATGTCAACACCGCACTATGATAGAAATATTGATAGGGAAACCTCAACAAAATGGAAGCCTGAGATGGAAATTTTCTACAGCAAAACCAAAGGTGGAATAGATGTTGATGAGTTATGGCGCAACTCTGACGTCACTTGAAACAGAAAGTATTGGCCAATGGCTGTGTTTTATTCAATCTTAAACGTGTGTGGCATAAGTAGTTTGATAGTTTACAAACAAAATAACAAGTGCAAAATACCATGGAGAAATTTTCTTAGAGGCTTGGGACTGGAACTCATGAGAGGTCATTTATAGTAGAGGAAGAACGAAATGTTTCTGCTCAGGGAACTATGCAAAAAATTGTGGACCACACTGATGAGCTGACACATAAGCAGATAGATACAGCATCCCATGGACCTACTACAACAACAGGAAAACCCAAAAGATGTCAACTGTGCCATACAAGAAAGGACATGTTTGGGCTGGGCATGTAGCTCAGTGGCATGGTGCCTGCCTGGCAAACACAAGGTCCTCAGTCCAATTCCTGGTACAAAAAAAAAATACTTGCTATCAGTTTAAGGGATACTTGTGTATGGAGCATTTTCATGTGTGAAGACTGTCTTGGATGTGATGATTGAAGCAAAGATTATTTTTGTTTTACAGTTCTATTGGTATTTTCCTTCTAGTTCACATAAGTTTTTATTTCTGATATTTTTGCTTAGGTTTTGTAAGCAAATAAACAGCTGATGTGAAAATGTTGATGTGTATCAGAAGCACTCATTATACGTTTGATATTTTCTTTTATTGGTATCTTATTTCCCTGCTAAGTACACATTGTACAACATGGTAGGAAGCTCCTGACAAACAGGAAAAGACATGACAAGAATAGCCGGCCACGTAGGAAAGAAAGCTAAGCACGTGTGCTGTCAGCAAAAGCAAGATGTGTGCATGGAACATGCAGTTATCATGTGCGAAGATGTCTTAGGCATGACAGTTGAAGTAAAGATTATATCTGTGGTAGACTGACTTTGCGTTTACTTGTAGCCACATAGGCTTTTATTTCTGACGTTACCTCTTAGGTTTTATACACAGCTGATTTGAAAATACTGTGTTTTTTTTTTTTTTGAGATAGGGTCTCACTATGTAGTGGAGGCCAGCCTTGGATTCACTATGTAGCCCAGGCTGGCCTTGACTTTGTGGCGATCCTCCTGCTTTAGCCTCCTGAGTGCTGTGCCACCATGCCCAGCTATTCTAAATGCACAGTACATATTAAGAATTTAATACTTTATTTTATGCTTCTGTTAACTACAAGCTGTATAACATACAAAGACTCTCCTGAAAAAAACGGCAAGACCAGTGAGATGTCAAATTTGTACTACAAAAAGTCTGGGAAAGCAAAACACATGTGCTGTCCATGACTGGTGTGTATGGAATATTCTGTTGTCATGTGTAAAGATCGTTGTAGGTGTGATAATTGAAGTAAAGATGATTTTCTTTTTGTAGAGTGCTACTGATATTTTCATTGTAGTTTATATAGGAATTAATTTCTGTTGTTCTTTTCTAGACTTTGTACACCAAAAAACCAGTTGATGTTGAAAATTTTGATGCTTTTTTATAAACACTCAATTAATATTCAAAATGCAGTATTTTACTTTTGTGAGTTTTTTCCCATTAAGCACTCATTGTTTAATATAATAATCATAAAATTAAAAGTAATAATTCACCAATAGGAATATTCTAAGAATAAATGCGAGTTTGACACACCTATGTTTATGGGCCTTTATGACAAAAAATGTTCTATGCTCTGAAGGTTTAAGACAGGTTTGGCCATGTAGCCCAGGAGAGCCTCAAACTCCTGATCCTCCTCTCAGCCTCCTGAGTGCTGAGATTACAGGCATGCACTACCAGGCCTGGTTTGTGGTTTCCTTTCCACACAAATAAAATCATAGATCAAACTGGGTTCAAGTATCTCAAAGATACTTGAGATTATCAAGATCTATGAGCCTATATGATCTAAGTATGGTCTTTGAGTTCCTTTGGCTGGGATTGAGACTTGCAGTGATTTTATGAAATATTACTTATAACATGACCTTTCATTGCTCAAAACCACCCCTAAGGGGTCATTTACAGCAGAGGAAAAATGAAATGTTTCTGCCCAGGGAACTATGCAAAAAATTGTGGACCACACTGGTTCTTGCTAGACCAGGAAGCCACAATCACACTAGTTCTTGCTATGACCAGGAGGCTCTCTCTGTGCTGGCCCCTGCCTGCTACTATGATTCACCTCTCCCACTGCCCCTTGGCTCAGTCTATTTTAGCCAAGGCCTTATTTAGTGTTACTTCTGGAGATTTCTGTTTCCCTATTTCTGCAATGCTCTGTTCCAGGCTCATGTGGCCATTTGTCACTTCATTCAGATTACCTCAAATGTCATCTACTCAGATCTTCCTTTGATCACTCCAACAAAACAGGAGCTTCTGTCTCTCCCGATCCCCTGCTTTAATTTCCAAAGAGCACTGTGACATTTTATTTACAATCATGTTTATTTTCTCATGTTAGAATGTAAGCTCTGTGAAGGCAGAAATGGGACACAGGACTCTGAGACAGACAGGCTCATTATACCTGCAAGCAGGCAGATTAATAGCTAGGACTGCACTAAAACAAAGGCTCTGCTTCTTACCACGCAGGGTGACTTTGAAGGAGGAGTAGTTCTTCTAAACTTCCCTTTCCAGAGCACCATGTGTAGTAGTGGTTCAAAATGCCGTTTTGGGAGCCCATGAAATTAGATGTCTGAATCAAATATTTCTTTTCAGGGTTCTTAGAAGAGGTAAACGAGAAAGTTATTAATACACTTAGCACAATGATAGGCTCATAGTAGTATTTGCTAAATGGCCTTTATTGTTCTTTTGTTTTGTTTTGTTTTTTGTTTTTTTTTTTTTCCGGTACCGGGAACCGAACTCATGACCTTGCGCTTGCCAGGCAAGCGCTTTGCCGCTGAGCTAAATCCCCAGCCCCGCCTTTACTGTTCTTTATCTGTTATTTTTTTGCTTGAGCTGTGCTCGGGATTGAACCCAGGGCCTCACTCCTGCTATGCAAGCACTCCACCACCAAGCTACACTCCTAGCTCTATTCTTTACCTGTTAAATGGAGACAGTGCCTAATTACCACCCCAGGTTATAAAATTCTTATTGGATTTCATGTGAAATCTATAGGTTGGGCCTCTTCTGTTAAGCCCTGTTTTTCATCTTAGGAGCCAGGAACGTTACTTTTCCAAAGCCTGTTCTAATGTCCTTTAGGAAATCCGGGCCACACCGTCCTTCAACTGCTGCATTTTAAGAACCATGGGCATTCTTTGAAAAGCGTTTATGACTTTTCTCTTGTCTAGGGCTGCATGTGTCAAGCTTTAGGGGTGATGTTCATTTGGAAACTTCTGCACCGCACCAGACTGGGAAACCCTGCAGAAGGCACTAAGCCACCACGCCCAGCTTGGGTCAGCCAGCTACCCCACGCGGTGTGACCGGCCAATCAGAAGAAGTTTGACCCTTTACAGTTTCCGTCCGCTCACTAGGAGGCGCTGCGGCGGCGGCGGCGGCTGCCGGGTTTATAGTGGGCCGGGCAGTTGGGTCGTCGGCTGAGGCTGGTGACCATGGAGTGGGGCTCTGAGTCGGTGGCTGTGAGGCGGCACCGCGTCGGAAGCGAGCGCCGGGAAGGACCGGCGGCCA